AAGTCATGGCTAACCCCAATTTCATACTTTTCTTGCATTTTTTAAAGATTTCTTTTCTCCTACCTTTATTATTTTATAAATAACTCAAAGCAGCAAACATACCTAATACTCCTTGCTCTTCCTATTTTCCCCACGACAACCCTGTGAGGTGGGTTGGGCTGAGAGAGAAGGATTGATCCAAAGTCATGCAGATGGCATTCATGCCTAAGGATGGACTGTAACTCACTATCTCACTATGAGCCATGGTGGCATAGTGGTTAACCTGCAGTATTGCAGGTTACTACTGCTGGCTGCCTGCAATTTGGCAGTTCGAATCTCACCAGACTCAGGGTTGACTCAGCCTTCCATCCTTCCGAGGTCGGTAAAATGAGGACCCAGATTGTTGGAGGCAATAGGCTGACTCTGTAAACCGCTTAGAGAGGGCTGTAAAGCACTGTGAAGCGGTATATAAGTCTAAGTGCTGTTGCTATCTCCTGGTTTCTAGTGTCTTAACCACTAGACCAAACTTGCATTCACATCAGACCCATAGGAGGGTTTGGCTGCTGGCAAAAAAACCTGAACTCTTTTACTTATGAACTATTCCATGGTGCAACCCAACTTCCACATACCTTTCTTTATTTGTCTGTGAAGGTTGCGTGCTCCTCGTGGACCAAACTGGAATTATTTAGAAAGGAAAGTGATTTAGCAATATATTAAAGATGATTGGAGATTTCAAAGGTCTTCTTATATTGCAGAGTGAAAGGGAAATAGTGTTGACAGCCCTAACCCTAAGAACTCAATTAAGTCATTACCAGCGCAGAGGGGAGAAAACAGTTTCTTTGCCAAAAGTAATTTTCTCTCTCCTTGCAGTAGTTTCAAGCTTTTTTATTTTTAGAGAATTTTTCTTCCCATGGGAGCCACTGCCACTTAGGTATTGAAAAGTCTCCACTCATTAATTTCTGCCTTAACTGCGATACTGCATATACATTGCAATGATTCACAAATGGATTTATGAGCCATTATTTTGGAAACATATACCACTTCATATTGCATTTTGAATGTAAATGTTCAAGAAAGTGATAAAATAACTAGAAATAAAATTCTGGAGTTTGTCTCAGATTACTGTGCACTGAACCAAGTACGCCCTCAGATATAGATAGCTATATTTTGTTTTCTTTTGCAACTAGGGTGATGGTGTGATTTCACCATCTTTTGGAAGTAGGGTGAAATATGATTTCATGGATCATGTAGTATATACTGCCGGTCAGTCTCTCTCAACCCTAGGAAGAAGGCAGTTGCAAACCACTTCTGAAAAAACCTTGCCAAAAAACTTTCAAGGCACTTTTCCAGGCTGTTGCCAGGAGTCAAAAAACTGACTCTAAGGGACCAAAAAAAATGGCATAAAATGATTGGATTGTAAGAAAAAAATAGGAGGCGATGGGAGGGAATTTCTCCATTAGAGAATGGTTGAGCTAAAAAGACAACCAGGTGTATTTTAAAACCGAAGCAATTATTAGGGAAACAAAATCTTAAGCGAGAGTCCCAAGAGTGGGCCAATCTTGATGCTTTTTCTAGATAATCCAATCCATTTCAGATAATAATTAAACATCCAACCCGTTGGGTTAAGGTAGGAAATCTACATTTTAAACATCTGAAATTCTGAGAAGATACAGTAAAACTATTCCTTGGGGAAACTATATCTCAATCAAATCAGAAAAACAAGAGACTTCCGAATTATAAATTAAACCAGGAAGATAGATTGTAATGGCAGTTCTAGTAAATTGTATCTGCTTGTACTATAAAGCTTTGACAATCAAAGAGTAATAAGGGTTAAAGGCAGATTCTATTGACTGTTCTATCTATATGCAAAATGTTTTCAGAACTATAAACTGTTCTGGGAAGTTCCCATTCTCATTAAATCTGGCAAACCTTTACAATGGGTGATATTACAAGTCAAAAAGAACTAAAGGATGAAGTCAGTCAATGAAGTTCCTTTTAACTGTGCTTATTGCATACCTCTTTGGCCTGATCATTAAATATCTTACATACATTTCGTGGGTTGGATGCAGGGACTTTTCTCCTTTCCTTTCTTGGCATCTTTCTCAGGCCTTTTTATTTGGAAAGTTCTGCCCATAGAACCCCATTGCTATTTGGTGATTGTTTTTCCTGGCTAGCTTATGGAGATAAGAATGAATAACAGCAGAGAAAGTATTATTATTTCCATTCTGTACTGATATATGAAAGTTTTTTTTTTTTTCAAATGTAAGATAGTATTTTCTTTAAGGCCAATATTTAAAGTTCAGGAAGGATTTTGAAAAAAAGCAAAATGAAATGCTCTGCAAACTCAGATTTGCAGAGACAAAAACAGCAGAGAGGGGGATATATGAATAAGTCACATATGAATTTGAGGAGTCTTTTATGCTCTCTGAGTTTGATTGTTTGCTTGTAGATATTTCATTACCCATCTAGGTAACATCTTCAGTGCTAATGAATGTGGGGTTTGCTTCTTGTTGTATACAGTAGCTTGCTCTATTAGCATTGGTGGGAGTGTGGCTTTTTCCACAGTGGCGCCTTGATTGTAGGTATCCCTCTACTTATGACAACAGGGACCAGAAAATTGGTTGTTAAGTAAGGCATCACATAACTGCACCCAATTGTATGACCTTTTTTGCTGCGATTATTAAATAAACCATTGACTCATCACATGACCATGACTTGTTACCTTCCCAATTGACTGCGCATCAGAAGCCATCTGGAAAGGTCACAAACGGTGATCATGTGAACATGGGATATTTCAGCCATCATAAATGCACCACAATGGCCAAGCCTCCAAATCACATGCTATGATATTTTCAGCACCCTCATAACTTCAAATGGTAGCTAAACAATTCATCATAGGTCATACCTGAGGAGTATTATTTTCTGCTTAATTGTCTGGTGTTAATCCCTTCTTATTTGAGCATTGGCTGCTGGAGTGGATGTGTTCTGGTCTTTTTCTTTATTTTTTCTTAGCTATTTTTTATTGGCCCTTTGGAATGGTATGTAAATGTGGTTTACGTTATGTGTCTGTTAATGGCTGATTTGTCTGAAAGCCAAGCTCCCAGGAATTCCCTAGCATTTTTGGATTTAGCTTGGTTTAGGATGCTCATAGTTTCCTAATTGAAACTATGGTTGAATTCAGTGGTGAAATCCAAATTTTTTTACCACCGGTTCTGTGATACCACTTGGTGGGCGTGGTGTGGCTTGGTGGGCATGGCAGGGGAAGAATACTGCAAAATTTCCATTCCCACCCCACTCCAGTGGAAGGATACTGCAACATGAAAGAGCCCTGGTGGCGCAGCAGACTAAAGCACTGTTATTAACATCAGCTGCCTGCAATTACTACAAGTTCAAATCTCACCAGGCTCAAGGTTGACTCAGCCTTCCATCCTTTCTAAGGTAGGTAAAACGAGGACCCATATTGTGGGGGCAATAAGCTGATTTTGTATAAATATACAAAAGTATGAAGGCTATTGCTTAACACATTGTAAGCCGCCCTGAGTCTTCGGAGAAGGGCGGCATATAAATCAAAAAATGTTTTTTTTAAAAAATCCCCATTCCCTTCCCACTCCTGGGGGAAGTATATTGCAAAATCTCCATTCCCACCCCACTCCGGGGCCAGCAGGAGGTGGTATTTGCTGGTTCTCCGAACTACTCAAAATTTCCACTGCCGGTTCTCCACAACCTGTCAGAACCTGCTGGATTTCACCCCTGGTTGAATTTGTGCATGTGTTCTGAGAGTAAGGCGTTTTCTTTCTGTCTCCTGACTTCAGGTTGGTGTTCATGGATGGGCTCTGCCAGCCTGTCCTACATAGTGACAACATACGTATGCTGTATGTTGTAGATGATTCTTGTTTTTTTCTTATTCTTGGGCTATTGGATCTTTTAGTTTACTTATAATGTTTTGGAAGGCTTTATTTGATTTGTGTGATGCTGTGTGGTTGAAATGTTAGATGTAGTTTAATTATCTATATTGAGTGTGTGGTTTCTTTCATTGTACAAGAATGGAGATTAGATCAGATGGAAAAATAATGTATAGAAGTGTTAACTTTTTCGTAGCTTGTGTTAATTGTGCTATAGTTGATTGAGTGGTCAGGTATTTTTTATCAAAACCACTACAATACATACAAGTGCTCAAATCACTAAGAACAATTAAACATCAAATTCAGAAGTAAGGATCTTTCTTAGCCTTGCTGATAGGCAGTAACTAAAAAGTACAAGGACATTCAAAACATATGTGCTATCAAGGGGCCATTGCTGATTCACACTATCATATGAACATAATAATATATTCAATGAACACAGTCCGAAGTATTGAAACATTTTTATAATGCATTAGGTGCTCTTGAAATAAATGATCTGCCCTCTAGTGGTTATTTCACAAATTTTTGAGTTTAAGATGAAAGGAAAGTTAAAATGAAGGGAAACTTTATTATTTGTTTTACTGTAATTCATCACCCACACAGTCTTCAGATTGGGGCAAAACAATTAAAAATAGGAACAATAAAACAATAGGTTTAAGCAACCTGCTCTTTGATTTATTCTTCCCTAAATCTAGTTTAAATAAAAATAAATTGAACTTTTTCCAGTGATGGTTAAACTTGACACAGATGAGAAAAGTTTATAAATATGTCTATTGGATACTAGTACAATTAGCACTAGTAAAGTATTAGTCTCTGAGTTAGTTTAGTAGGATCCTTTCAAATAGGGCATAACTTAAGTTTATGACCAAAATTGTGCTTATACCACCAAGAATGATTAATCAAAGCATTATTTTTCTATCTGATCTACTCCCCATCTCCCCATAAAAGAAACCACACACTCACAGCAGAATATAGTTAACTATCATTTTAGCTCCTTTTAAGGACTAGAGTACACGTTGGCTGATAGGCACATTTAAATACTTAAGCTATGTGTGACTGTCTTAGAGGGATTTTGTGCGTTTGAAACATGGCTGCAAAGAATTGGCAGTCATTAAAATAAGGGCCCTAAGACGAACTAGTGAGGATTCACTCCTCATAACCTCCTAAGGTGTCCTCTGTCACTCTTTTCAAGGCTTTAACTTTTTTTCTGGAGAATGATCTTCACTCCCCACTATTATTATTTTCAAGGAATTTATGGGAGACCTACAGGCCATTGTGAAAGCAGCATTGGTGGTGCTATTGCTTACTTTACTAAAGGAGCAAAAGGAAAAGTGTCCAGAGGTGCCAATATGGCTGCTTGATTTGTGCCATGAAGAATGGTGGGTATTGCAGCCTCATTGGCACCTACGAGAAGCTCCCTTGTGGTAAGCCAAGGAAATCTCACATTACTGAGTACAGTATATATGGAAATGAGTCAGAAGACGGAGGAGATGTTACCTCAGGTTTTTATTTCACTACTGGGAAAAGTGAGTGAAAGAGAGACAGAAGACAGGGAAGTACGTGCTTATTGATGTTGCTTCTTTCATTTTTGAGGTGAAGGAGAATACGGTGGGCAGAGGAGGAGTCAAGCCACACGTTTATTCTCTGCTGTGATTAGGATAGCCGCAGTCACACTGTGGCACTGTCCTCCATTACATCAGATGTGCTTGTAGTTAATTACAAGTTACCTTCCTGAATTTGCTGCAGTAAAAAGCGTATATTTAACAAACCAAAATGCAATACAAGAAGCTGGTGTGGTCCTTGTGGTTGTGTTTAGGGCTAGTTTCAGAGCATTGCAACATTCAGGCTGTCTTTTATACAAACCATCTAAAGGAAGAGACACTATTAATACCTCCAGGTTTTAAAAAAGTATCTCATTGAAACAACAGGTTGGAAAGGACTAGAAATGTAATATAATCATATGTGCTGCTGGTTTGAGCAAGCATCAAAATAGAGGGAAATATAACATTTAATTTGCTGCTGCTGCTTCCGAATATACAACTATGGCAACTGTAGCAAATCATCCCAACTTGGTGCCTCCACAGGCATTCAAAATAAAACTTCCCAAAATTTTAGGAATTGCCCTCTGACTAGTTAAGTCCATGCTTAATTTTGAATTGCTCAAACTAAATAGTGCAATTTCTATTGATGTGTCAAATAAAATGTTTAACCCAAAATTAACTTTGGAAGGTATATTGGCTCTGCACTTACTCCAGAAAAACAATGCAGAAGAGACAAATCAGCTGCATTTCCTATGCAATACAGGGCAGGTGGCTCTTCCCTCTTGTCCTTCCTCTTGGGATTTCCCCTTTCCTCCTAAAACCAAGGTCCTGTGGCACTTAACTAGACATTCTGCCATTTTTGTCTGCTCTAAATATGGCTTTGCCAGTGGCTGCTTTTCAAGGTAATTCAAGGGTAAAAAGCACAGCAGAGGATGTAACATTCCATCATTGGCCAGCATGGAAATACACTGGATGACTTAAATAGAAAAACGTGAAGATACTCCAAGCAACTACAGAAAAACAAGAGAGCTGGGAGGATGAACTTGGGAGCTATGTGAAAGGAACCTTAGTATATTTATTTTACATAGTGTACTAAGTATTCTGGAGGTCTGGATTCAGTTTCTGAGTCAACCTGGACATTTATCAAAGATTCTTGAGAAAGGTATATCACTTCTGGATCGATCCTGGTTTGTTCTATCTTTAATTTTGTTAAATATAACAAGTTCAGTTACTGTAGGAGATCTACTGCAAATACTAATAAAAAAGATTAATAAGTAAAAATTCCAAAGGCATCAGCTGATGGTTTTACCTCAAATTCTTACTTGTTTCTAAAATATGTTAAAGTAGTTATGGATATAGAATACAAGAATTGGAATATGCTGTGTTGTAGAGTGGTTAAAGGCTTGGATTAAGATTGAGGAGAGATTGATTTCAATGGACAGCAAAGAAACCTTGATGAGTGATTTTGGGCTACTCTTTCTCAGCCAAAATACCTCATAGAATTGCAGCTCGGAATAGAAGATGGAGTCAGAGCCCCACATAGGACACCTTGAAGTCCTGAAGGAAAACAAGGATGTATTAAAAATGTAATTTTTTTCTAATACTATACAGTACAAGCGTAGAGAATCATATAGTTATAAGAAGATATTTTTAAATTATCAATAAATAAATATTTCTGGCTTTGCTAGCCACATGAGTGCTGTGCTTAAATATTTGTATATCTAAGATGCAGAATAAAATTTCAAAAATCTAAAAATGAAAAAAAAAGTTGCTGATAGCTATTTGAATATATTACTTTTATTATATTTATTGTCTTTGTAGCTCAACTCCATCCAGTCACCCTGACTCTTCTGGGAATAAGCAGTACCAAATTGTAAAGAGGGAGTTTTTAATTGTCTTTATAGGGCCATTTACAGGGATGCGGTGGCTCAGTGGCTAAGACGCTGAGCTTGTTGATAGATACATCGGCAGTTCAGCAGTTCGAATCCTTAGTGCCAGGTAACGAGGTGAGCTCCTGTTACTTGTCCCAGATTCTGCCAACCTAGCAGTTGGAAAGCACATAAAAAATGCAAGTAGAAAAATAGGGGCCACCTTTGGTGGGAAGGTAATAGCATTCTGTGCGTCTTTGGCGTTTAGTCATGCTGGCCACATGATCACAGAGACGTCTTCGGACAGTGCTGGCTCTTCGGCTTTGAAACGGAGATGAGCACCGCCCCCTAGAGTCGGGAACGACAAGCACATATGTGCGAGGGGAACCTTTACCTTTACCTTATAGAGCCATATTTAATAGCACTGTAAGCTTTTGTAAAGTTATGGTAATTAAAATAATATTTCTCTCACCCCCTTTTTTTTTTCTTCAAAACAGAAACAAAGCACACGATGGCCTTGGTTTTGCTAATTTCCACTCTTGCCTTCAGCCTCACGAATGGAATAAAACTTCAAGATTTTAGCTGGCAGTTAAAAAAAATACCACAGATTGTGAAGGAAAAGACTTTCTTCCTTGACACTCCTAAATATGAAGCCAGTGCCAAATTAGAACTGAGCGGAGTGTGTGGGATTGAATGCCAAAGAACATTGCCAGTGCCACGTTGGTCTGATCTGAAGGAGCTGCTTTCCTATGAGACAGTCTTTGAGAATGGCACAAGGACCTTGACAGAAGTGGAGGTTCTGGGAATGGAGCCCAATGCAATTGTAAACATTACTACTAAGATGCCAACAAGAAGGAAGAGACAGGTCTATGGCACAGACAGCAGATTCAGCATTTCAGACACTCGATTTCTGACCAACTATCCTTTTAACACCGCGGTAAAGATCTCCACAGGCTGCACTGGCATCCTTATTTCTTCAAAGCATGTACTCACTGCTGCCCATTGTGTGCATGACGGTAAAGATTACATTAAAGGCAGCAAGAAACTGAGAGTGGGAATGTTGAAGCTGAAATCCAAAGGCACGGGCAAGAGACGCAGGGGAGCCAAGAGGAGTAAGAGGGAGATGCCAGAAGTCGAAGAGGATGAGGTTGATTCCAAACTCCAGAAAAGGAGATCTGGCGGTAGAGCTGGCAGAAAACAAAAGACACCTGTGTTGAATGAGAAGAAGTCAGAGCGTAAGCCCTCCTTCCAGTGGACCAGAGTTAAAAGTACTCAGATCCCCAAAGGCTGGACAACTGATGTGACAAGAGATGTTGCAGTTGATTATGACTATGCAGTTTTGGAACTCAGGCGTCCCCACAAGAAGAAATACATGGAACTTGGCATCAGCCCGGATAGCAAGATGATTCCTGGAAATATGATCCATTTTTCTGGATACGATGCAGACCGAGCTGGCCAACTGGTTTATCGCTTTTGCAGCATATCTGATGAATCCAGTGATCTCTTCTACCAGTATTGTGATGCTGAGCCTGGTTCTACTGGTTCAGGAATTTACCTCCGCCTTAAAGAACCAAACAAGAAGAAATGGAAACGCAAAATTATTGGCATTTATTCTGGTCATCAGTGGGTGGATGTTAATGGAGAACAACAGGATTACAACGTTGCAGTTCGAATTACACCGCTCAAATATGCTCAGATTTGCCTCTGGTTAGGGAATAATGACACCTGTGCACAGGGCTAAAGATAATACTTGATCACCTAATATCTAGTAGTGTTAGGCAATGGAAGTCATACATTGACTTGCTTTGATTGTATTTGAACTTGACGCCAGAAATTAGATTTTTTTTGTATTGAGGAACAAAAACAAACAAACACCTCAGCATTTATGAGAATTTTTCTGCTAGGTTAATTACGTTAACCAATAGACATGAGGTGCACTTAAATCCCAGGTTGTGTATGTTTGTACCGTATATGTCTCTGTGTGTGTACACACAAACACACACATATATAGGTAAGTTTAAATCATACTTAAGAACAAACACTCTTTGCTTTTTCAGTTTGTTACTCAGTTAACACTTCAAAGAAAAGTTTCTTCTCTGGTAATTGGTATTATTAAAACATTTATTATTTTATTTCCAACATATTATCTCAGGGTTCTGCTCAAATAAGCATCACACATTTATTATTGAAACATAGAGGTAAGAACAAAAATTAATCTTCACACTTTGATGGTCCTACCAAATTAGTGTTTATGAAAATGGAAAGCCATTTTCTTGAATTCTAAACCAATAAAATGAAACTTAATCAAAGTAGCATGTCCCAATTCGAAGAAAAGAGATCCATGTAATTTAAATGCCTTTAAATCATATTTAGAAAATAAAACTGGGAGTATTAAAATTGTATTTGTTTTATTCAGTCACTACTTTGAACAAATCCCTGCCTTTTAAAATTATTATTAAGATGCAATAGTGACATTTATGTATTGTAATTTTTTAAACTATCAAAAGCTAAATGTATCATCCTATCAAAAGTAGGAGATAACAGTAGCCCAAGAAGCCATATATTTGCTCCTAATGGTAAGAGTAACTTGATGAAGAAAAGAATAGCTCTATAGTCTAAAATGTAAACAGATGTAATTGTCACATATATTGAAATGTACATAAAAGCTTCACCATAAAGGTAACATGAGATGCACAAGTTGTATGTTTCTCAGCCTCATCAACTTTGAGAGATGAAAACTTCAATTCTTAAAATTCTAAGCAGTGGTTATGCTGACTGAGGATTTCTAGGAGTTGAAGTCCACTCACCTTAAAGTTGCTGAGATTGGAAAACCCTGTATTAGGATTTATCAGTGAACCTTTCTTCAAATGATAGGCTGAATTGTGGAAGCAGTTCTTCAGAGTTCCACCACAACTACCAAAGCCAATAATTATTTGTTAATTAATCATGATCTAATGTTTACAGAATTTGTAGGTTAACATTTATGTAAATATATTACTGATTTCTTATGTAGCAAGAATTCTTATGGGTTCTTTTACTAGAAAAGGATTTAAAGTAGGCTTGTTATTTAAAATGTACACATTTCAGTAGCTTTTCAAAATAAACTCTCCTGTGCTTTCTGCTTCAAAGATTGTCATGTAAGTGAAGGCCATTTGGAGAAAACAAAATCATCGGAACTCTATTTAATATGTAAGGTTAAGGTGAAATATTCCTGGCCGTATGTAATCTTGGTTTTATTAATATTACAATAATTTCATTTTAACTTGAATTGATCAACATTTTTGCAAAAAAAAAAGTGTAATAAGAAACAAAAGGTTTTAAATATATGTATAAATGTGAAAAAATCACTAAATTCTTAAAAGCACTTCAGTTTGAATAAAATATTCTTAAATTTGTTGTTGTTTTTTGCTATTCCACTTTTGAAAAAGTATTAAATGTAGAATTGACATGCAAAGATTTTTCTTATTTCTGTGTGAAATGTGCATTTGAAAATACTCCATATCAAATTAATCATAATCTACAAACCTTATTCAGAAGTATTCTTATTTTGAATTATTGTTTATGAAATAATATATCCTTAATATTATAATATCCATAAGAAATGAAACATATAGAAGGCATTCGTACATCATGATGTTCTCAAAAGACTTCAAGATATAAAACATTAAACTAAAGGTTTGCAAGACTGTAATTGAAAAACAAAAACGAAATTTTATTTATCTAGAAAATGTGTTCAACAAAATATGAAGCACATTTCACAGGCAAAATGGATATTCCTATTCAATAATATAGATTTCCTATCATTGGCTTAAAAGTATTCCCAAGCAATCATAGGACATCCTTCTTCAAAGAGCTATATGTTCCATGTCAGAAAGTATGAATTGGTATTAATTACTGAAATATAGTGTGAAAGTAAGAAAGTGAAAGTTGCATGTTATATTGCTGTGAATGCTGATCGCTGGATTCACTGAATTGAAGAATCAGAGATGAATTGGGAGGAAAATTATATTTTGAATAGATGGGAACCAGAGGAAGAAAAATTCTTCTAAGTATCATAAGTGAATGGGAATAAAAAAAATGCAAAACTATTTAGAGACTCAAGAATGGATTACTATTTATACAATATATCTTTGTTTAATATGGGATTTAAGCAGAAGTCAACTCGTATGTTCCCCTGGCAAAATAATACATATAAATATAAAAGCATTCACTTATGACAAAAGCAAGAAAAAAGTGTAGGACAATGTAAGAATGACAAATAGGGATGTGCAGACTACACACACCACAGATTGATAGCTTTTGGACAATCTATGAATAGAGTGAAATGTGCATACACATTGTTTGCTGTAATTGGAATCTGATATGCTTTGGATAGAATCCAAATCCCCCCCCCCCGAGATTTGGATAGCTCAACCCTATAAACTTTTTGCAAGGTATCGAAGTCTTAGTTGCTTTCTACACCTTGTCACAGTATGTGGGAAAGACCTTGGGAGATGGAGCAAAGAGATGTTGCCTAGGGAACAGTCAGATAAGAGGCAGCATAGCCACAATTGTACAGACGGAGGAGCAAGACACGCAGAAGGCAATTTCCATAGGTTCTTGGACTATAAAGATGATATGTTGACTCAATATATCTGGTTGTGTCTCCTGTTTCTACCTGAACCAACAGGCCCCTGGTTCAGGTAGATAGATGACCTCCGCTGTTAATAGTACATCTTTTCTGTTTATCATTGGGCATTTGCAGTTATTTATTGGGGTTTTGTTTCTCTGTTAATCCTTATGAGTAACCCAGAGTCACACAGTTATATAAATCTTACAGATATATAAATAAAATGTAATTTTAATCCCTCACAGAGAGATCTTCTTCCCTTTGTCCTTTACACAAGAGATTAAGGGGAAAAATCTCTGAGGCGCTAAGAGAAAAAAGTTTTTAAGATGCATAGGCCATCCAGAGTGCCTATGGCATTATTTTTCCATCTGATCTACTCTACTAAAAGAAAGTACATATTCAGAGCAGAATATTGTTATAATGTACAGGGAAAGGATGGGATGCCAATTTATATTCAAATGCCACTCCTTTTGATCAGGTACTCCAAAAATTTTAAAAAAAGTACCATAGCATGAAAAAGTTTTAAAATTTCTGTTTTAGATAATCTGTTCAGCAGAGAATATATATCACTTCTTCAAATTTGCTGAACCAGGAATTGTATTTCCTGCTGCCAATGAAAGCCACCAAGATACAGGAATATCTTAGGCAAATGTTAAAATTGAATGTTTACAAGCAACAAAAGACCAAAAAAAGACTGCACTTTCAACTGAAGAACTGCTGTCCCCAAATGGAAATGTTAAGTTCCATAAGTATCCCACAAATATAGGTTGAGAAGATGACATTACAAGACCTTTCCTGCATCAAGAGCAATGCACTAATGAGAGGGATAAAAAACATAAAAGAAAAAAATACCATATACAAAGATTTTGTACATTTTTCAGACATCAAGGCATTCATTCCAACAAGGTTAGTAAAGTGTAGATCATTGTTGCCACTTCAAAGTAATCCATCTTCCCATTTTATCAAATCCTATAATTAGAACAAGGGCAAAGCTAGATTAAAAGTTCTCCATCTAATTCGTTTGAGCTCCAAAAATGAGTTTGTGAGTAGTCTTGAGTGTGCATTTCCTTATCTTTACTATAGTTATTATGTGGCTGTGATGGTTGCAATTAAACTTCCTGTTCCTTGGGGATACAAGTTTTAACCCACAAAAAAAGAACAAGAGACATATTCAGACAATGATCATTTCCATACATTATTATTCAATATAAATCCTCTTCATCAATGATGCACTGTCAGTGCTTAGCTGGATATCATAATAGTGTTATAAAATTGTAAAACTCTACAATTAAAATGGTCATTATTGCCAATTTCTCTTGGTGTACAATATATTCTCACAGTACAATTTAAAATCCACATGAAAAGGTAGAATCTTTCTTTCAATCCATGTTATGTACACATATACATAAGCATATATTACAGGGGTTATTTTTTTAAAAAAAGCACTTGGAGGACAATCAGTTAACTTTCTGCTTCTTGTGCCATTCCTAAGAACTCAACAAAAGAATGGCTAGGTGCGTACATTTAGACAATGAAAGATTTTACAGAACTATATTTTCATTTTGGTTTGTTAACAGATATGGAACTCAATATAGTATGGAATACATAGATATTCAACAGGGTAGTTTTTCTCCCTAGTTTTAGAAAGGTGGATGAATTGCATGCTAAAAGTATTGGATTATTTCCCGGACATTAATCTTAAATCGGGATTCCTCCCCCCCAGCAATTAAAGAAAACACTGGATGTGAAAGGAAAGAGGTTATAGAAATATAGTGTGTATTCTGAAGCCCATAAGACAGTTTTTCTAAGGTTCGTAGCTATAAATTTGATCTGTGCTGAGATTAACAAAATTATAAAAAGATAAATGCAATATAAAATAACAGCAAAAACACAAATCTGTCTCTTTAATTTTTATTTTCTCTACTTAATAGTTTCTCAGCAAGAATTGTTTTTGTTTGGAAAAATGAATTCTTACTGATGATATCAGTGACAAGCGAAATTCCAAACTCTTGATTTTTTAATTATTTTGATATGTCAAAAATGGGTAAATAATAACAATAAAATATTAGGTTAATGAAAAGTCTAACAATTTCAGGAGTTGAATGCATAAATACAATCTGAGACATAGATGAACGATTAGTCTTGACAATTGTTCCTGACAAAGGAGATGGAGTTGAAATGATCCACTGGTTGAATTAATCAGAGTGTGCATGTGAGTGAGCAAATAGGTCTACTTTATAATCAGTAAAAGTTTGCTCTTATTTTAAATTCACTGGATCTCCGTGAATTTTAAAGAACTGTTTGTGCCTCAGTGTTCGGTTGAAAGTGATTTGAGTGTGGCAATTTTCCAAGGCTGTAAGTGTGTGAATGAGTGACCCTATGCTGAACCTGAAAGCACACTTGTAAAACACTACGAACCTCTCCATTTGCAGAAACGTATTGAGAAAATGGTATGGTGACATTTACTTGTTCTTGTCACACAGTAATCAAAGGTTTCTCAGAAGCAAAGGCGATATAATTCTCTGTTTCCAGATGAACCTGTTATTCAAAACCCCACACTTGAGATCTCATTTCATAAATGAGATTTTGGGGCTGCTATTAAATTAAGTAGCCCTTAAACATCTCAATATATGAGATGGAAAATCAACATTAAGCAGGAACATGGAATGGCAGGATGAAATTTCAGTAGGGAGATGCCTAATGGTCCTATTCTATGCCCAGTGGCAGATAAAGAAAGAAGATAAATCTTACTTTGGAAATAAGACTGGATTAATTTTACCCACCTAGCTGGCCATAATGTGTATCAAATGTGAATCTTTTTTTTCACTGTTATATAAAGAAACTGCTTTTGATTAATGGCTAAGGTTATGTAAACATTGCTGCTCTAGATAAGATAAATAAAAATGAAGGTACCTAATTTTGTATTTTGAAATCCAAATGGGACAGGAGGAAGAATGATTTTCATAAACATTATCTTCTCTGCTTCAGTAGTCACACTTATTCCTACATGCACAAAGATATCCACGTGTTGTGAAAATACTGTGCCAAAAATATAGGATTTTGTCTCTTCAGTTAAGGAAACTCTTCTCCATATTGTATCACACAGTAGTTCACATTTGCTAAATAGCATCCTTATTGTTATTGCTATGACAACAAGGCTGACACATCCTAATAGCCCTGCAAGGAAGCACAGGTTGCCTTGGCAACAGGGATACATTCCTTTGCCTCCCCTTTTCTCACTTTCCTCCAGGCCATCTCAATGAGGACAAAACATTATTTTCATGGCAGTCATGACGAGGAGTGCCAGCTAAGATCACACAGCTACAATGTCTAGCTGAAGATGGCCTGAAGGCCTCTGTTGTGGTCCCCCAGCAGCCTGCGGAGCTGGCAGCGGAGTCGGACAGTGATGAGGCTGAGGAAGAACATGGGCCAGTCCTGGAGGCTTTGGAAGGCCCGGATGAGGGCTCTGCGTCGGAGGCAGAGATGGGGCCAGGGCCATCTGGGAGTTATGTGTGGACTCCGGAGCCTGCAGAGTCGGACATCAGAGAGGCAAAGGAACAGGAGGAGCCTGTTCCTAGTGCACGCATGCACAGAGCTGACAGAAGGCAAGAACTGTTTAAAAAATGGATGACTCAGGAGTAAGGCCTGGAGATGATTGGCCCCTCCCATAAGGCTTAAAAGAGGAGCAAAGGCACGTGGGCCCTTTGCAGGAAAGCAATGTTATTAATTCTGTTCCCAGTCGGCATCTCTGTTTGATTCTGGACTCCGTGTGGCTTTGCCAAGTAG